CGAAATGCACATATGGATAACCCATCTGCATATCCAAGCCCCATTCACAGCTCCCTGGAGCCCCAGGCCTAGAGGTGCACACAACAGCAGTTCATCTACCATTGGGAGGATAAACCCAGGGCAGATGCCTGTGAAGTTCCTGGAATGGACTCAGGGTCATCTGGCTGGGGAACTCTGAGGATCCATGTACCCAGAATGTGGTCTAGAAGTAGAGGCACAGATATGGGCATTCCCTTGGCTCTGAGGACTCTTTGCTCCTTGGGGAGTGGCAAGGCCTTAGGACAGTCAGAGTGGGGGCCCTCTACCATGAGGAGCCCAGGACAGGAGCCCTGGTTTGCATAAGTCGAAGGATGGTACTAGTTTCCAGAGATGGAGTACACTATCATCATGTCCACAACGTATCAGAAACTTTTATACAGCTCCAAATAAACTAACTAGAGGCCTGATAAAGCATTTGGAGTAACTCAAGAAAACTTTAAATTTTCCTGAGTTGTTAAAAAAAAAAAAAAAAAAAAAGGACCATGCATTGTGCATGGTCTTAAAAAATAAATAATTTTAAATAAATAAGTTTAATAATAAATTCTTGGTAATTAAAGAAATTTAACCTCATCAGAAACTACATAACATTTTAAACTTTAAAAAGATTAATAATTACTTTTAAGAGACCAATTCAATATTCTGCATTGTAAAGTTTTCTAGTTTTTTATTAGGAGCAAAAAATCTCTAAAATATTAAGGAACACATTCCTTCTGTCATCATTTTATCCAAAATTCTTCAAAATAAATCACACAAAGATGTAATGATTGGCAGAAAATTTACTACATGTTCCACCAAAAGATAAACACCTTTGAAAAAAACATAGGTGATTTGAGCTCTCAGCCCACCAGAACTGTGTCCAGTTTGCAAACCTCTGAGAACCACTGACAATGTAGTGGGAGAGGAGGGCGGGAGGGGGAGAGAAAAGACTATTTGTCAAATGATTTTTTCCATAACTGAAAATAAGGGAGGATGATGAGGCATATGCAAATGCCAATAACCTTCATTTCTTTAAAAATTGTCAACAGTAGACTAGTTTTCAAATTGATCCAAATAATAACAATTCAGCTGCTATGCCGTGCTCTCTGACAAGCTGTGTTCAGGTTCAGAGAAAAAGTAAATTAGGCCAGACCACTGAAGAACATTGCATAAAACATAAAAATGTCCATGTGAGCCAAGCAGAAAGCTGTTTTCAGGGGCCATATCAGTCTTTCTCAAAAGCGTTGGTATAAGGTTTTGATGTAGAAAATTCTTATCAAATGTAAATATCTGGAGGCTAATCAATTCCAATTTAAGCCACTCCTTTTTGCCCAGTTCATCTATCTGTGCCTTTAGTTATAAACTGCCATGGAGATGGGCACTGTCAGTCAGCCATTATCTCTGAGAGCTCTCTGAGGGAGATGCCATACAAAGTATTCAACTTTTAAAACCTATAAATGACTTTGGTATTCCTCGGGGGAGACCTTCTGAAAATATAAAGTCACTTATTAATTTACCTCAGAAGTTAAGCAAAATTTTAAATAGCTTGAGAAGTTTTAACAAGTGAATCTTGTTGGGGATTTGTCCTGGTTTTGTTTCATAAATTGACCTGGAATAAAATAGTAGCTACTATTAGTGCGATATACGTCCTGAGCCTGGGAAACCTTACTGATTCATAAATATTCTAATACTCTTCAACAGTGAGTATTGTGAAAAAATTCTCAACCTCACCAATCATCAGAGAAATGCAAATCAAAACGGCAATGACTCAAGGATGACCATCATTAAGAAGTCAAAAAACAACAGATGCTGGTGCAGGTGCAGAGAGAAGGGAATGCTTTTACACTGTAGTGGGAGTGCAAGCTAGTTCAACTTCTACGGAAAGCAGTGTGGTGATTCCTAAAAGAACTAGAAATTGATCCAGCAATCCCTCTCCTGGGAATATACCCGGAGGAACATAAATCATTCTACCAAAAAGACACCTGCACATGCATGTTTTTTGATGAACTATTCACAATAACAAAAACATGGAACCAACCCTACTGCCCATCGAAAGTGGACTGGATAAAGAAAATGTGGTACATATACATGATGGAGTATTATGCAGCCATAAAGAAGAAAAAAATCATGAACTTCACAGCAAATTGGATGGAGCTGAAGACCATCATGCTAAGTGATCTATCAGGAAAAAAAATAACTGAATACCGTATGTTCTCACTTATAAGTGGGACTTGAATAACAGACACATGAATACAAGGGAAGGATCGGTTGTCACTTGGCACTGCTAGCGGAGAAAGGGAGGGAGGAGGGTGGGGCGCATGTAACAACACAAAGGGTACCTGGTCCTATACTAGGGGAGCGAGGACCAGTTAGAAGCCCAAATTTCACCTGCATGCAGCCTACTTATGTAGTTAATCCTCGCTTGTACCCTACATCTCTATAATAAAATAAATTTTAATGAAGTAAAAAACAAAATATCTCAAGATTTTTTTTTTTAATGGGCGGTTTCTTTCGCCCGTGGCAGCTCTGGCATACCATTCTTTCTTTTCTCCCTTCTCTCATAAACTTTGTTTGAAAACTTTAAAAAAGAAACAGTGAGCATCATTAAGCCTAGGCCAGAATCATTATTTACATATAAAATTTTTTTTACATGAAGTAACAGTTTCACAAATAAAGTTAGTAATTGGTAACTATTTACAATTCAGTTTTCTGTACTTCTATCTACATGTACCGCAACAATATTCTGAAACCAATTGCAATGATCATCCCAAAGTTCTTGCTATCATTTGCCCAAATTGATTTTTTTTTAAGTCAGGTTCTCTTTCAGGACTTTAAGAAAGTCTATTGGTTATTTCATGTATGTAGTCAAAATTATGCTTTTCCTTAAAGTGAACATATTGTCCTAAGTCTCATATATTCATGGAGAAAGGAGAGTGGGAGCTGAAATGGAGACATGAACCAACATTCAGAGTAAGAGAGAAATCTGCAACGCATTTCAGTCATTTCTAAAGAAACTTCTGTGTCCAGCACTCTGTATATCATCTCATTTAATTCTCATAGCAACTCCGTGAAGCACTGTAATTATTATTGCACCCGACTACAAATGTGGCAACAGGCTTGGGAAGTTAAACACACATATCTAGTTAAGTAGTAGTAAGATTTGCACACACAATTTTCTGGTTCCAAAGTGTGTTTCTTTCTACCATGTGGTTTCGTTAATTTCCTTTTTTCTATTTTTTGCTTACACTTTGATATTTTTAAGGGGACACAGCACAAGGCTTCAGATATTAATGATCAACTTTCTCTGGCAACTGGCAGGCACCCCAGTCTTAAACGCTTTTCCTTTTTTTTTTCACTGCTGCTGGAAGCTGATAATAGACTTGAGCAGCCCCTGCCTGCTGGCACCACAAAAAACATTTTTTTAAGCTGCAGTTATAAGTATTTAAAATGCAAGCCCTATGAGCTAAGAGAACGTCTCATGACTTCAAGATTGAAAACTGAAGTTGATCTGACATTTAGCCCCCCAAAACTAATAATGAAATAAAGAAAATGCAGAGAGCACTGTGTCTCGCCTTTCCCACCATCCCAGTAGAGCAACATAATGGCATGTAAGCATTCCCAAGAGCTCCACAGCAGCCTGTATCAGATCTGCTGTCCACAATTGCAGACTGGCACACTGAGAAGCCGGAAGCATTACTGAATGCTGCTCAACAAAGCACAGCTCTTTGTTGAGAACTAGTGGAAAAGGCCATCGCTCTAAAATCAACATAAAGACCTGCCGGGTGTGCATACTAGCACTAGCTGTTGTTTCCTTCCAGATTTTCAATTCTTAATAACCAAGTGAATTTTCAGCCTTTATAATAAGCTTTTATGCCTCAAAACACTTCAGCTTGTGCTTGAGCATTTAAAAAAATTCAAAATGTCCATTAAGCACTCCAATAAGCTAGTCAAATTGGTTGCAAAATACATTATATGTACCTTCCCAAATACTTTGAATATTTATGAACTTTTTGTTGAGTTGTATGGTCCTATCTTGGTACTGAGCCTAGGAGTTTGATAACAGCCTAGGCACATAGCAAGACCTCGCCCAGTGTGCCTGTAGTCCCATAGTCCCAAAGTTACTCAGGAGGCTGAAGCAGAAGGAGGTCGAGGCTGTGGAGAGCCTGTGATCTGATTCTGCCACTGCACTCCAGCCTGGGCAACAGAGTGAGATCCCCCAACTCAAAAAAAAGAAAAAAAAAACTGGAAGTAAAGCTCGTCAGTAGCTACTTCCTAGACAACTAAATATTTGCAGAGATAAATACTGAACACCGTGAGATATCAGAGAGGAAATAAAATTATTTTGCTAAAAGAAAATTGAATTTATCTTTATTTAATGACTAAACCATTCGTTGGTGAATTAAAGAGCAACGCTTGTCCAGTTTATTTAACGCACTTGTTTATTTTTTAGAATATAGTCTACATCTGGATTAAAAAAAGTTTTAAATAAATTTAAGACATATAACAACAGTGGAACCCTTCATCATTCTATGTACAACATGGATAGAATGTCAGTTGGTTCCATTTCAGGTAAGTCCACTTTCTCATAATAATGTTATTTCACTGGCTGAGTGGCAAGCTTCATACAAGCTGGCGCACTTCCAGCTTACACACACTAGGGTGGGGGTGGGGATGGGGTGAGGGTGGTGTGAAAGGGATGGGGTGGGGGTGCCACAGGACTACTGTACAGTGTAACAGAAAATCATTAATAAAGTAGTACCGGTTACCGACAGACAGTGCTGTTTGTGCGCTTATCACAATGGAATCGCCGAAGTTTCAGAGCAAGGAGATTTGAAATACTTAAGACAGGGCCACTGTTACAAAAAGAAATAGTGCAAACAGGAAAACTGATGCAATCCTAGCAACGCCTCGGCCTCCACCGGTCCAACGGCGGCGTGGGGGTGGGGGGGGGGGGG